TTAAAATCCCCCACTACTATTGTGGTGTGCTTCCTACATACCTTAGTTAGCTGACTAGCAAAAAGTTCATCTACTTCCTCTGTACTTTCTCTATAACTTTTGTTGTAGATAGGAGCAAAAGAGAACAGGAAGCAGTAAAAAATTGTCAGTGTGGAATCCTGCCCCTCTTACATAAAGGAAGGTACTTGGTGCTTATTTTTTCCATACCCAAATGGAAGTGGGAATCATAGTGGGAGGGAAAATGCAGTCATAAATTGTTGCATCTAAAACTTGTTCCACGGTAAACTCTTAGGGCGCTGCCACTCGCGGGCCTCACTACCCAAGCAGAAGGGAAATCTACTTTCAGGACAGAGCAAGACATGCTAGTAGGAAAGCACATTAAAACATCTAAATGGGTGTGTCCTCGGGTCCCAATTTCATGATAATGAAGTACGTTTTTACCTTTCTATATTTTATTTTGACTAGGTTTAGAGACAATCGGTATGGAGAGTAAAGTTGTATATGTTTCATGTTGCTGCTGATGTCGTCATTATTCTATCATGTAGAATAGGCAGCAGCATCCATGGAAAGAATATCCAAATCAGCAGGAGGGAGGGTGGAGCATCATAAATGGAGGCCTCACACTTTCTGAACGTGCAGGTTCAAATAGGGTAGGGCTTGCGTTGCAGTGCTTCCATCTTTCCTTCTTGCCAATTTCCTCCTTCCCAACCCTCTAGACTGGGAATAGGATAGGAGGAAGCATTGTGAAAGATCCCAGATATCAAAGGCCATGATAAAAATGCTGGAAGCTGATCTCAACAAGATCTATGCAAATAGACTGCACAATCCCCCCACCTCCTGATTAGAATTTGCATAGTAAGGGCCAAACTGTTTGAGGGGGAGGGAAACTGGTTTGCAGGGATCCTATTTAAATAGAATAACATTAGGAAAAACTTATATATAATATATAAAGTAAATATATATATATAAAGACGAAAACACCAGCTTGAGGATGGTGCAACAGTAAAAATATTGGGTTTCTGTCTGGATGGTCTCTCGTGACGAGCCGAAGGACAGAGAATGGAAGTAGTGATCT